CACACACACACACACACATGCGCGCGCGCACGCACGCACTTGGCCGATCAAGCATGAATTAGTTTATACAAAACGCTATTCAAATACTCGACATTCAATGATTAATCTTCCTTTTGAGTGCACACGTGTACCCTTTGTGGCTTCCGTTCGGGCCGAAATTTCGAAATCTCCAAGATATGGCGAGGCCATGAGAATGCGAGGCGAGGGTATTACTGTTGTGGCGACTCCACTCAAGCTAAGCGAGCCTCAGCAGTAGATAGTCCGCTGCTCTCTGCTGTGCGGGTTTCAGCGCGAACATGTACGCAAACGCGTCTTTTGATTTCAACCAATCAGCGCCGACGTAAATGACGTCACACACGACAACAGCAAAGCTAAGTTAGCCGAGACGACACTATGTCGGACGGACACGATTTTCTGCCAATCTGTGTTTTTCCCTTTTTGGCCAAATATATTTTTTACTACAACTGTCTTGTTGACGGCGTCTTTTATTCGTTACACTGGGGTTTAGCGGGTGTGTTTATAAAGAGACGAAAATTGTTTGGGGACTATCCCCCACGTTCTAGTTGAGATGGTATAACCCAAGAGGCAAAATGACGCTTGCTACTGTTGTTGCGAGTTGCCATTCGTTCTACTAAACCATTAGTCAAACGCCATCATGCCTTCTGTCGTTATTACACAAACAAAAATGTCTTTACTGTTACTAGTGTTCGTGCCTCAATGTGGCTACGCTCGTGAAAGCAATACAACGAACTCAAACGCGTCTTCGTTCAATGTTGTCAACAAATATCCGGATTATGCAAATTTTCCTCAATTCTCCGGAGAAATTTTCATAAAAATTTGAAAAACCCGGAATTCCGGGAAAATACGGAGGACTTTCATCTCTGAATAGCATTTGATGCAACGGGTAAACTTGGGAACTACAGTACAATACTTTGTTTCATAACAGGCCAACCAAAGTTACAAAAATCTATATTTTTTTGCATTGTAGGCATACTGTAGTTATTTCAGCCTGATCGAGTCCGTTTCTGGGACCTTGGCTGTTGTGGTAACATAAAACAACAAAGGGCCACATCAACGTTTGGGGTGGGAAGGTGCTTAAATGACGACTTGAATGTCTACATACGGAGTTGTAAGTCATACCTTAGTTTCAGTCATCCCCGCCGTGCTCTGGTCAGAGGTATAGAATAAATTACATGTTATTTCATTAAGGAGCATTGTTTCCTCCACCTGTTGAATAATCAAGAGGAATTGTAAAGTTGAAATCAAGAAAATGGAGCAGGCCAACATAAAATGTCAGACTGAAGACGGTTAACAAAAATATGATGCGAGATGGCAAACAGGACAAGAACCACAATTTCAATGGCAACTCACTCAACCATAGTTGTGAGAGAGAATTGCATTTGGGTTTTCCAGAGTATATATATTCAGTGCCTCTTCTTGTTTTTTTTTTTCCTCATAATTTCCCCACTTTACCCCTTTCATGCACCCTGTAACCTGATAACATGATAAGCTGTCCACAGCAGTAACTGCTCTCCCTGAAAGGGTTAATATTTACCAAATAAGTGTTGCTATCAAACAAAGATAACTCAAAATAAGCTGATGTTTTTTTTGGGTTTTTTTGGTTTTTTTTAGTCATTGTATTTCTCAGTGGGGTGGGGGGGAAACTATTTGAAGCTATTTGGCCCTGTGTGAAAAAGTACTTTCTCCCACTAATTCTGACATTTGGTTGGACCAATGGACACAGTGGTCCTTCTTTTCGTTTGAATAGCTGTGGGGATTCAACAAGGAGGTGATCCAGTGGGCGACTGGTTAGCGCGTCGGCCTCACAGTGCAGAGCTGCAGGGTTTGAATCCGGCTCCGGCCTTCCTGTGTGGAGTTTGCATGCTCTCCCCATGTCTGTGTGGGTTTTCTCTGGGTACTTCGGTTTCCTCCCACATTCCAAAGACATGCGTGGCAGATTAATGGAACACACAAAATTGTCCCTAGGTGTGAATGTGAGCATAGATGGGTGTTCATCTGTGTGTGCCCTGCGATTGACTGGCAACCGGTTCAGGGTGTCCCCCGCCTACTGCCCGGAGACAGCTGGGATAGGACAAACACCCACATCCACACCATCACTGAGTGGGAACCAATCCCACGCTGCCCGGACTACTGCACTACATGGGCGACTCTAGTATTAATTTTGCTTTCAAAAAATATATATGGCGTATTCGTCATATTTTGCAAGACAAAAGTAAGGTCACCCACAATTTTCAAACGACTGTTTATCCATTCTTCTTCTGTAGCAGTGCACAGAAGGTGCGAAATGTAATACATTTAAAATCAACTCAAAAGATCATGCATGATATGAACCCTTTCAGGGACAGTGGTTACTACAGTGGACAGCTTTTTGGTTCATTTTATATGATAAGACGAGGTCTCAGAGGTCCCCCCCCCCAAAGCATTTTGGTTTTTATTTTATATAAATGAAAATATTTTAAATGGTCCGTTTTGTTATTTCATAAACTATAGTAACTGTCATGTTCTGTCTTGATTGTGTTCCAGCTCCAGCTGGAGTGAAGGGTGTTTCCCTCCAGTTAGTGCACCTGCGCCTCGTTTCCTCATCAGCCTGGCTTTGCATTTCAAGACTCTGACTTCTGCTTCTCTTTGTCGGATTATTGACCTTGCTCACTGTTGCGCTTCAAGTGTCATTTTCTAGACCTCTTGATCTTGTTCATAGTCGCTCTTGTTTTCGTAGTTCCTTGTTTTGTAAGTATTTTCCTCATTAAGTTATTTGTTTTTCATTTTGGTTTCACATATTTGGACTCTTGTCATTTCATTTGTGTAGTTCTCGGTAAGCTTCAGTACCTTGCCTTTTGCAAGTGCTTTTTGTTTATGCGTTGTCTTTCCTGGTACTTTGTGACCAGTGATTTCAGTTTTTAACTTTGAATTTTGGAATCCGAAAACATTATTCAGTTCGGACCTGAACCTTACAGTAACCATGATTTGTGAGTGTTTGAAATGCAAGGGGCCTCTTCCCGATTGTTTTAGGGATCGTGTTTGTGGTAAGTTGATGGTTTTAACTATTATCATAGGCGATTAAAATGACTATTTGACGCTCAGATAATGGATGGAAGAGTTGAGGATAGCTTGGGGCTGTGGAATTGTAGGATGGAAAGTGTTGGAGAACAGCGGAGATTAGCAAACGACAATTTTGGCAAAGGAGCGAGGAGAATCTCTCACCAAGAATTTCCGCTTCTGCTTCCAGTAATTTCCTTGAGCATTTGTGGCCATATGGGCGTCAGTAGTCATACGAATGAGATGCCACTCGTTATCGGAGGGCTCGTGTTGATCCATCGCTGTTTTTTGTAGCTCCTCCTTGCGGCGACGCTGCCGGTTTTCCTCAATCAGCTTACGCTTGGCGAGCCGCTTGCTCTCATCCAACACCACTTGTGGGTTTCGAGGGCAGTGGGTGGTGCGGAGGGGGTAAGATAAAAAGAAAACTTGAGTGAATTAACTGAAGTGAAAGGTTTGAACAGCTTAATGACAGATCTCATGATGCTAGGCTATTACTGCTTCCTGTTGCAGATAAGTGCGCTGGCTAATTTATGTCTTGACTTACAGTCTGTAGCCATTCCAACCGCTATACATTTCTTGAAGCGACAATCCTGGCACTGGTTTCTGGTCACCTTGTCTATGGCACATCTTCCCTCGTACTTACAAGCATAGGTTTGCCTGAGGTCTTTTTGTATTGTCCGCCTGAAGAAGCCCTAGACATGAAATGGCGCCACATATGTTCACAGATTCTTCCATTTGCTTCGACAATCCAATCAGGGACTTGTTTGTTACCTTACAACCTTCACAGGTGATACAGCGATAGTGATAGCCCGTAGCTTTGTCCCCACACACTACACAGAGCTCATCTTTGTCCAGGTAACTTGGTATGTACCCTGGGAGAGAAGAAAATAATTGCCATTGTTGATCAAAACAGAGTAACAATGACATGTCTAGAAAATTCCCTCACATTTTCAATGTGACTGCTGACTCTTGCAAGGTGGAAAGCTGACTGTGCCGAACGTTTAAGTTGAAGTTTTGAAACGACCAAATAATGTGAAAAAAAATGTGGTTGTGATAAATTGAACAGTTTAAAGTTGGAACAGTTTGAACCAGTTAAAAGAAAAACAAATGTAGAAATTAGAGGGGGGAAAAAAAATTGTAATTTTTGATTTTATTTTTTAATTTAAAAAATTGAAATTGCATTCGGGATTAGATGAGAACTTCAATTGGTCAAAAAAAAATTTTAAATGAGGGGAAATTTGCCTTTATTTTGAAATTTGGAAAAAAAAATTGCAGTCGGGAGAAGCTGGGCACATTCATATTGGAACGGTTTGAATAATTCCAAAAATGTAGACAGAGTGGAAAAGCACACCGAAAAACACGATTGTTGGCTTTTTATTTGAAATTTTGTGCGAGCGCTTTGAAAGGGTCAAAACCTGGGCATGAACAAAAAAAAAAACAAAATCTAAAAATTTTAGCTTTTATTTTGACATTGCAAAA